TTTATGGTAGGACACCACTCTTGCAGGCTGCCGGCAATGGGCACAAAGGAATAGTGAAGCTCCTCCTGGACCGAAAAGAGGTCAACCCCGACTCGAAAGACGATGGTGGTTTCACACCACTCTTGCTGGCCGCCTTGGGAGGGCACGAAGGAATAGTGAAGCTCCTCCTGGACCGGAAAGAGGTCAACCCCGACTCGAAAAAAAATTATGGTAGCACACCACTCTTGCTGGCTGCCCGGAATGGGCACGAAGGAATAGTGAAGCTCCTCCTGGACCGGAAAGAGGTCAACCCCGACTCGAAAAACAATGATGGTAGCACACCACTCTTGCTGGCTGCCCGGAATGGGCACGAAGGAATAGTGAAGCTCCTCCTGGACCGGAAAGAGGTCAACCCCGACTCGAAAAACAATGATGGTAGCACACCACTCTTGCTAGCTGCCCAGAATGGGCACGAAGGAATAGTGAAGCTCCTCCTGGACCGGAGAGAGGTCAACCCCGACTCGAAAGACGAGTATGACAGAACACCACTCTTGCTGGCTGCCCGGAATGGGCACAAAGGAGTAGTGAAGCTCCTCCTGGACCAGAAAGAGGTCAACCCCGACTCGAAAGGCAATTATGGTAGCACACCACTCTCGGTGGCTGCCCGAGGTGGGCACGAAGGAATAGTGAAGCTCCTCCTGGCCCGGAAAGAGGTCAACCCCGACTCGAAAGACAATTATGGTAGCACACCGCTCTTGCTGGCTGCCGGGAAAGGGCACGAAGGAATAGTGAAGCTCCTCCTGGGCCGGAAAGAGGTCAACCCCGACTCGAAAGACAATGATGGTAACACACCACTCTTGCTAGCTGCCTCAGCAGGGGACAAAGGGATAGTGAAGCTCCTCCAAAACCACATAAACACCAAACTCGATCCCTACCCGCTCTCCTCCCGTACGCCCTCCCCGCTTCCGGAGCCTGCCACAGAGGATACTGAGGTCCCTGCATTCCCCCATCCACAACTGGAAGTTATCGAAATAAAGACAACCGCACCTGCACTCACTCCCCTTCCCCCTCCACCTCTGGATTCTCCTTCCAACAAGGCAGAACTACTCCCCGTCTCCCTACCCCTAGCATGCCCATCCTTGGCGGCCGCTGTTGCAGTAATACTTGTTGCTATACTTGTCACCTATTGCTTGAATTATTCCGAGTATCTTTCATCTTGAATATTTCCTTTCTGCCCCCCGTGTCTGTCTCGGTCTACCCTGTCCTGTACCCGTTTTTCTCCTATTCGTGGTGGGAAGCAGTACTCACGGCTAATGGCCTTTCCTTTCCTTTTCTTTCTTGTCTTTCTTTTCTTTCTTTCTGCTGCGAGATTAGTTATTTACTAGTATATTGCGTTGCCTCGAATGTGCATATTCCTGGTATTGGTGGTGTTCTTGTCAAGTTATAGATTATATGTTTTCCTTTGGAATATACGGGGGTTTTGGCGTCTTGCTTGAGTGGAGTTACCTGGGAGATTCATCGGGTGTATTTTTTTTTATTCCTATTCTGACTTATCCATTATATACTGCTTTATTATTTTCTATTATTTTTCTCTTTTATGTGGGGTTTTGGAAGCCAGCTTGGAAAAATGCATTTTCATTTTCATCGTACTGCTCCCTGGGCGGGTGAGTTTTTCACTTTTGTGATTTTTTCCCCAAGCCATTTTTGTCGATCCTGAATGGAGGCCATGCATGTTATCTATTATTTTTTTGAGACTGCGATTCTTGCTGGCTTTGATTGTTTTAAAATGCTTTTCTCCTAATGAGCTGGATAGAGATAATCCAATGTTACTTTAATGACCAATAGACTCGAATATCTAGAGACTATCTGAGAAGACTCAATCCTGCCGCTGCACCCTACGGAACTCCTACAACTTTAGAAGTGCGGGTTCGATGGGTAACCCACACCTGGCCCCAACAGAACACAACCTAACCTAAAGTTACAAATATTAGACCTAGCCCAGCCGAACCTGAATAGAACTGGGTTGGCCCAAAAAATATGGGACCCAATTACAAGCCATATTTGGGATTGCCGCATATGAACGCGAGGAGGTCAGCGAAGCGTGGGAATGATGTCGTGAGGTTCCAAACAATTGGACTAATATCATAGGAGGCAAGTTAAAAGGTTGGCCAACGTTGATGTTAGAAGCACACTTCGCTACTAACTCTCTTGTGCAGTCTACCAAGATGATCGCTTCACAACTGTATCTAGGTTGCAAATTAGCTGTGTCTTTGGCCATTACCGCAATGTATCGAAGGTACAATTGAATTAATCAGGCAGGACCGGTAAGACTGTATTGTCGTTGTCGAGCGGAAGATTCGCTCTAGAAGGGAGATAGATCAGTTAATAGTTCATGTAGAGTTACCGGAGGTGGATAGGAAGGAAGGATAGAAACATCAGAAGTGAACTTTATGTAAGAATTTGGACACTGGTGAGGTACCGGGATCACGAGTGACGTTTGATGTTTGTTTCGCATCTTCCCTATGTTTTCTTTATTCGTTATGTCGGGTATTTAAGCTGTATTTCCTTAAGTCCCAATCCAACCACGCTTCTTACCTCGAAATATGAGAATCGACTTCAATCTTGAAGTTTTTTTTTTTTGAGAAACGAGTAGACCGTCGGCATTGATGAGTACGTGCCGGACCGTATTCAGAAAGGTACTCCAGATGTGGTCAACCGGCCGATAAGAATAATGGCCAAGGGTGGCTTACCCCACGGTAAAGGCAGCCGGGATTAGGCGAGCGGTGAGAGAAACTGGTGGTGGAACCATTTCGTTTCGGGCTCTGCGAAGTCAGTTGGCCCTTGTTGCTAATATGTACCACTGAGGGTGTGAGATCGTATTTATACGCGTTCGCATAATACCGTATAATACCGTATAAAAAATGGTATATTATTCTAAAAATTCATATTTTATTTGACCCCTAAAGGGTATATTGCAAAATGTGGAAAATTGAGTGAGAATCTGAGGAGATAGAGTAGTATGAGAACTCTTTACTCTTTAAGGCTCAAGAGTAACTGTTTCAAACCTATCATAAACCTAACAATCTTTGGTTATGACCCATTGTCATCTCTTATGGTTAATTTGTACAGGTTGTCAGAACAATTAGGCCATTAAATATCTACTAAGGAGCAAATAACTAACAATGAGTATCATATTCTCTCTTTTAAGAAAGATTTGGGGGCCAGGGCTAATGCTATAGGGTTAGATATTTCAGGGTCTGTATGTGTCGTATGTATGGTATAAAAAGGAAGGGAAAATATATGATAATATACCTATATTTGATTACCCTAGCACCACTGCACACGTACATCAGATGACGAGTGATATCTTGTGATGCTGGAGTCCGCCGGTGACAGCCAAGAATACTACTGTAGTATAGATAGAGTCGGGGGGCAACAGAACACACCATTGAACCATACAACAATTTCCCCCTGGGAGCGCGATATAGATACTGCACAGCAAGTACAATAAACCCTGCACATATCCCCACTATCCCCTTTCTCCTTTCCATGTCCACCATGCCTCACCCTATCCCTAACCTTCATCCCCAGAACTCACGATCACCCACCACCGTCAGTCTTTATTCAAAAGCACTATACAACAATACAATAAAAGTGTGGTAAGCGCTGGACGTAAGAAGACAGAGTAAAAAAACGATTCCCGCTCATTATTTTCTACGGTGGATAGTCTAGTCTCGGTAGTACAGTATACGAATGATGATAATCTCCACCAGACTTGAGTCCAGTGTAGATCTCGGTTTAGAGCTGGGCTGACTTGGTGAGGAGGAAGAGGGGAGTGTTCATTTGTTGGCTTCGTTGGTGGTTTTGTATGGTAATGGGGAAAGCTGTTGTAGTTGGTTTGGCAAGCATTTGGACTTAGAGCAGTACCTCCACTCTCACTGTAAGGGGTTTGCTTTGGGGGATCTGGTAGAAGGTTAGTTTAAGTAATACCGGTACAGAATTCAAGTAATACGTAAGAGAAAACATTCTGCTTTTCCTAAGCTTTCTTTGAATCTATTTGATATATCGGTAGTCGATAATCTCTAGCCGTGACAGCACACTTCTAACTTCCGTGCGCACCTATCCCTACTTATATAACTTCACTACTACCGAAAAACCAACTCCTCTCGCATAATAATCCAGGCCCCACCTCCCCAGATATAGTTCGGTAACATAATTCATCGTTCATCCTTGGTCCCCCATCGTATCTCGTTACTGTTGAAATTCACGATACTTCCATACCGCTGTAACGTTAGTAGGGGTTGCAGAAGAAATAGAGATGTTAGAGGATTAGTGCGTTTGGGACATTGTTTGATATGTCACGCTAAAGGATGCAAGGAAAGGTAGTTAGCGGTAGCAGGAATGTTTGGGAGGTTTCAGGAATTACCTAAGGATTAAGGATGTCATAGATCAGAGTTTGTTTGAGGATGAGACGAATTGGCGTCGGACTATGGCAGTTAGGAAACAGATAGGAAACGGTTAGAAAACACGAGAAGGAGCAGAAGGGTTTCAGGACTGTGAGAGAACGTCGGAGTTAAGGAAGCTAGCTTAGGAGAAGTTTGACGGAGTTGTGCAGACGGAGGGTGTGAGAGCATGAGAGAGAACGGAGGAAATTATGGGCACGATGGAGAAAGGTCTTATTGCCAAGGAACGATTTGTGTATATATAGGACACCTTCCGGTAACTTAGAAAAAGACAAGACTCAAGTTTTCCTCGTACATTCATAACAGATTTACTTTAATTACAACATACCAAAACCACACACAATTGGAAAGAAAACCAAATGTGATCCATCTTTTAAATTCAAGTGTATTTATTGCAATAGCAAGATCTATCCCTCAGCAAAAAAATTAGGCTTAATTGAGCAACTTTTGCTTTTGTTCTAAAGCTAAAAAAACAGTGTTTTTGGTGTAAAATGAATGGCCAACGATGAACTATGTCACCGAGCTGTACAAAGAATCAAGAGAGGTACAATAATGTAATGGTTCCAGAGGGGATCGAACCCTCGACCTTAGCGTTAACATTTAAATACCGGTAATGTTAGCACCACGCGCTAACCAACTGAGCAATGGAACCTTGATAAGTCTAACAAATTGACATATAAGAATCTTTTACTAACCAAGCGGTCTTGCGTTCGAGAACTTTCTGGCTGTTTTCCCAAGGGTTCCAATAAAGTACCGACATCTACTCTGCCCACCACAATTCTCAAGACCCCCATCATCCCGTTCTAGTATTACTCCTGTATGTTTTCCCAAAAATATAGAGATCTAAAAACCCAAGTTTCAATACATGCACTGGCAAGTGCCAGCCCAGACTACAGCCTGTTCCGGCGTTGCGAGATTCTCGAGTCGCGAGAGTGGCACTGTCGCTTACCATCTTGGTGGCCATTACAGTACTAGTTATCATAGCTATGGTATGAACACTTCTGTTTCACCTTCCCTTCTCTCAACACCACATACCAACTACACTGACAACACAACATACCCAGAGCAACAACACATCACATCCTTTTATTGCTAAGAGAAGATGAGGGCAATCAAGCAGAAAAAAAAAGAAAAAAAGAAAAAGGTAAGAACTAATCAACCACTTTAAAAATATCAACAAACTAATTGAAATTTAATTTAGCCTTGCAATCTGATCTTCATCATCTTGTCGAAATTCGCGCCTAATACTATCACCATTCTGAGAGGACTCATCAATGTCCTCACTATTCTCGCCCAAATTGCTGTGGTCTGTTCCCTCTAATCCTTCCTGAACAAACTCTGCTAACTTATTATTTAACAGGTTGATCTTTTCAGTCAATAGGATTATCTTTACTTCGATTTCATCTTTCTTTTGGTGTAAGACATCAAGGCTGAGTCTAATTCGAGATCGGGGATTCTGTTCTTTCTCTTCAATTTTTCTTTCCAATACTCGAAGTTGGTCCAGTAGGTTTTCCCTTCTCTTGATTTGCCCAACTCTTTTTTGTTGCAGTTTTTTATATTCACCACTAACAATATCCCTCCTCTAACATCACAGGTCTTCTGCTGTTGCAAAGGCTTGCCCTTAAGTTGGAATCTTCTTACGTGCACATGGCTGATCTTGGGTCTTGCCTTTATGCTGTTCATCTTTTTGCTGAAGTCATGCCTCTTCTGCAAGATGAATCTTTGCATGGGCAAACTGAGCAGATTGGATTAACTTGGTAAGTTTAGACTTATGGATTTGGATCTCGGATGGACTGAGAGAGGAATTGTTTGCTAATTGTGATAGGTCATCGGTTAATCGTTTCAATAAAAGTGGGGTTTTCGGTGTTACTGGAATACCAGGGGAAGGAGCACGTAAGGGAGGAGTCTGGGGTCTCTGTTGTTGACTTTGGAGGAGGGAATGTAGGCCTTGGGATTTGGCAGCATGGGTGTCATGGATTGGTATAGGTTTAGATTGAGATAGGATACCTTGAAAAGCTTGAGTATTGGTTGGCCTCCTCAAGTTCAAGTGTGGTGGATCATCATGCATAGACTTAGGGTTGACATGCTTGACTGGATCAAATGAGGGAACCTTTCAAAGTGCTGTATATCAGTCCAGTGGGTGTATACCAGTTGTTGCAAAGGCAGATTTGACATTTTGAATGGTGAAGGCCTTTTCTCATGCCTGAGAGAGAAACTCCCAGAAGTTAGCTTTCAATTCTCCATAACATCCATAGCAAAATTCTGTCTCTAGTATTTGGGCATAATAGTTCTTATATGGTCCAAAGATACCAACATCAAGTGGTTGAAGAAGATTCATACTATGTGGGGGTAGGCGGAATGCATTAATATGATTATCAATGCAGTACTGCAGGAATCTATGGGATATGTGAGATTCATGATCTTCAAATATTATCATCCAATATTGACCATTCACTTTCTCTGATGCTGGGCTGTCTGGACCAAAGTGATGCTTTAAGTAACCTAATCCCATCTCGTTGTCTGTCCATCCATTGGGTGAATAGCCACAAAGTACATCATTTGGAAATGGTAAGGATGGATTGAACCAGCCAACCTGGAATCCATCCGCCTTGTAGATAACCATTGGGCTAAGATTGCTGCCATTAGTACATATTCCTTCAATGACTGTTGCCATTTCTCGATTTCCATTTATTTATATGTAAGTAGAGTAAATATATTGTTTTTTTAATTATTTACATACTGAAAGATCTTAATACTCCATTAAGTTGCAATTCTCTACTATCAACTATAACCTTTTCTGAATGAGTAGTACTTATGAGAAAATCAATTTCGTCAAAGTTGTATAAGTTTTCCTGATGCACCTTATGATGGTTCATAAGTTCGGTTAACTAAATAAATAGTGCTAGTATAAGTTTTGAATCCTCCATGACGATGTAAATAGGATACTTGTTACTTACACAATCAAAGTATAGGTTAAGTACAGTCAGATTATATGCTTGAAGGGCACAGCAATTCTCAATTTATTTACTGAATGCACTTGCTAGTTGGTCATGTTGTTTAACAAAACTGTAAACCCAGTAGTTTCCAATAGTTCCTTCTAATTCTCGCAATTGCAGTAAGCTGAGTGCCATCTCTTCAACTACTCTGTGTCGAGCAGGCTGAAGCCATGAACTCAACAAACTGCATTGGTCCAGAACAGCTTTCTCTTCACCTGCAGTTAACTTACACTTTTTCTCTATTCCTTCCTGCCTACATCTACAACCTTTGATTGCATGACATAAAGTTGAATATGCAATACTACAAGCCTCAGTGATTATCTTCCTGTTTGGAGTAAGTCCATCAAGTAGTTCTCTCTCAATCCAGGTCATTACCATATGTTTTTTTTTCATCAAGACTAGAGATTTCAGGAAGCTGCAGAGGCTTTGAAATAACTGGCATCTTATAAGGTACTTTATGGAAGATATAGTAAGCAGGGAGGGAGGTTTGAAATACTTTTATTAAAACTCCATGTCAGGCAATGAATTCTATATATGTACTATAATGATGCTTGAACCCTACGCCATTATTTATCATACTTCTTGGAATCACTAGTTCTATTATAGGTTAAGTGTAGTCTTAGGATTACACACTCCCATTTTCCTGCAGCCACTCTCGCGACTCAAGAATCTCATAACACCAGAACAGATGGTACACCTAACAGCTCCCAAACAACCAGAGAGTGTATAAGTACAGTATGCATCTTCCTTACTATCCTCATTCACTTCCTAGAATCCTAAAACTATACTTACCATCAATTAGTCAAGCTACAACTTCTGCACAGTATCTATATGCCTTAACTACTCAATTCCCTTCAGGAGCAGTAGTATGTCATGTGGTGATCATGAGGAATCACTTGCATTTCCCACCATGAGACTTGTTGTCAGAAATGTAGGAAATATGTTGTTGGAATGATGGCTGGTATTCAGAATGATGGTTGGTATTCAGAATAGGAATGTTGGTATTCAGAATAGGGATGTTGGTATTCGGAATGAGGATATTAGTACTTGGAATGATGGTGTTGGTATTTGGTATGAGAGCTGGTATGGAATGTTTGGGAAATTCTGATAGCTGTACAAGACTTCAAAGTTTACATATATTCCAAGTCATCACCGTCAATGTTTAGTTTTTCTAATAACAAGCAACAAAACAACTTTAATAACTATTTTTCACCAAACATATTCTATTTCACTTACTCTAGTATTCTATACTTTATCTTATCCCTAAAGGTCTTCTCTCCTAATTTCAGGTTATGAGCCTGGATCTCTAAGCGCATACCTAAGAGCTGATCCCCTTCACTCCATACCTGTCTTCTTTATTCTCTGTTACCTCCACACTGCTTTATCCCTTCAACTAATATCTGCAAACTACTGGAGACATCACTCTTTCTATCATTGCAATGGAATCAGCAACCTCTTGAGTTTATAGGGATGAAATCTACTGCTGTAAGTATGGGGACATGAGTAAGCTAACCCATTATAACTACATATACTGGAGGTGTGATGTCGAATTCTGTCTACAGGCTGAATCCACTCTAGCTATAGTGCTCGGAGAAGAAGACAATCCAGGTGGCCACGGAGCAGCAGATTTTGAGTGTTGTTTGGGTAAGGTGGCTGCTATGATCAACGCATTGTGCTATTCTTCTGTTAAAACCTATATCAATAGAATGAGATCCTCTCGTCTCATGTGGGAAGAGCTGAAAACCAAGCTGGATACCTCAAGCACTTGTGTCGGTCGACTAGCAATCCTTAGGAACTTCAATCAACTGCATCTGACCACCAACTCTACTCTTGCAGAATATATCACCCATCTTCTGGACTGTCATCAGGAGTTAGAAAAATCCGAAAAAGTGATTCTGGACAAAACCTTTATTACTCACCTTATCACTATACTGCCAGCCACATATAACTCAATTATCGATATCATAACCTATGAACCTGCCAAACGCCAGATCATCAACTATGGAATTACCACTCTTGTAGAATGGGAAACCTCTGTACGAAATCGGAAGAATGAAGTCAGATCAAACACCGCCATCAGTAGTACAATAACATCTGGAAATGCATTGGTAATGGTAAATAGAGAAGGTGCAGGCACTTTCAGTCATGGAGGAAGAGGTCATGGATGGGGTCATGGTCATTTTTGTCATCGTGGAACATCTCAAAACAATAACTCAAACTTATGATCAGCTCTTCTGGTCTCCTGCTGGTATTGTAATAAGTATGGACACAAGCAAGATAACTGTTTTATTAAAAAGAAAGCCAATAAAGCATGTTCCAAATGACCACTGGTAAGAAATATTTCGTCCATCAATAGTCCTTCAGAATCAGCCTTTATGATGGTTAAAGTACTCATTGCCATGCCTCCTCGAACCATTGACCTGGATAATACAGCTTGGATCATTGACTCTGGTACCTTGCATCACATGTACTGTGATAGGAGATGCTTCAGCACTATCGATCACCTGTCAATACCTGTCAAGATCTCGATGGGTGATGGTTCTTGTTTAATGGCAACCGCTTACGGACTTATCTCTCTTCAACTCCCTGCCTCAACTATTTTGATCCATGCCCTCTTCATACCCCAGCTTAAATATAGTCTACTCTCAATTGGTAG